TAAAAAAGAAACAAAAAATTAATTATTTTTTTTTTCAAAATCGCCGGCGCCCCCTCCTACTCTCTCACTTCTCTATCTCATTCGCTCACCTTAAAAAAAAAATATTCAAAATTTTTTTAACTCTTTTAATCTCAAAAAAATTGGAAAAATGGCCAGACAACAACCTAGAGATGGCAAGGGATACATGATTCCACAGGTATTTTTATTTATTTTTTAATTAAAATAATTTTCTAAATTTTTTTTTGTATAAAGCCGACCGCCGACCGCGGCCTTTTTCGAAGATGCCGGCCAACGACTGCGGCCGGTTTACGCGAAGTAGGCTGCGAATTGTGGCCGGCTTTTTCCCACGCGGCCCGCCCATTTTTGGCCGCGATCAGGGCCCAATCGCGGCCGCGCGCGGCCAATTTTTTTAAATTTAAAAATTAAAATAAATATTAGTATATATTATACTTTATATATATTAATATATGTTTTCTATAAATTTAAAAATATAAATAAATAAAAGTTTTTAATATATATTTATTTTGTGTTTTTTTAATATAGTAAAAACTATAATATATGTAAAATATATTAGTATATATTTTTCATTTTTTTTCCTATTTTTTTCGCTTTTAATATATTAATATTATTATATTAAATTACATTTAGTATATATTTTTCATTTTTTTCGTTATTTTCATTTTTTATAATATATTAATAATTAATATATTTATAAAATATTTTTAAAAATATAATTTTAATATTTATAAATTTTATTTATTTATTTATAAATTTATAGATAATATATAGTAAATTAAAATATTTTTAATTAATAATGAAAATATATTAGAAATATATTTTTTAATATTTAATAAATATTATAAATATATTAATAAAGAAAATATATTAATATGTAAAAAATATATTAATATATAGTTAAAATAGATTAATAATTAAAATATATTAATATAATTATATGTATATGTTTGTCCCATTTTTGTTGCGTTTTTCGTGTTTATTTTATCTTTCTTTTTCCACCGTTTTAGTTCGTTTCTTTAGTTTTTAGTTCGTTTCGTGTTTAATTATGTGTTTTCCTTTATTTTTAGTCAGTTTAGTGGTATAGCTTAGGTGTATTCTTATTTCTTTCATTGAGAACCATTCTCACTTGAACTCAACTATATATA